ACTTACTGTGCCTACTGTTCGCTTAACTCAATTATCTATCTCTTCAATCGCGCTGGTTTTTCTCGCCAGGCTTATATACTAAAAAAAGAGGCGCCTCTAACAAACTAGAGTTGCCAGGAAAATTCATGATCCTTCGAGAAACTCCAGCGCCATGCTCCCAGCGTCACGTGACTTCCACTGTCGTAACAGTAGTATATATATATAGTAATGTAAATATCTGGATGTGTTGGGCTAGGGATTCTTCTGCAGTAAATGTCTTTGAGTTATTGGTGACAAATTCGACAATAAACGAATATCACACAATCCACTTGTTTTTAAAATTATATATATATATATATATTCGAAACAAGTGAAAGGTATGTACAAAATTCTTTACACTATGGATATCACAACTTCATCTTAAACATTTTACAGTGCTCTTCTACTTGTCAAAAGTCTACTTAGGCCAATTCAATTGCTTCAGAATTCAGTTGACAAGTCGAACTATTTCTCTCTATATTTATTGCATTAGTATCATTGTATAACTCACTTACGCTGTCGCGTGAATTACTGCAGTTGTATCCTTAATTTCCAATAATCGTCTGGTCATAGTGCTTTCAAATTTTGAATGGAAATGAGTTTACTGGGCCAAAGAACCAGATTTTGAGCACTATGTTCCTGTCCATGCAGAAATTTTGCCATTATTTTTTTCTTTCAGACAATCATATCTAGAAATAACCAAGCACACACTGACAGTTGTTATCAAATCTTTCAAAATGTGTTCCATGTCAGTGCTGGTAACATTTCCATGTTATTTCAAGGAAACCTGTGCAATAGTTGTTTCATTGACATATTCTCTGTCTAAGTGATGACATGTGATTCTTGTATATGTCACTATGGGATTTGGAAATTTCATTTTAAGTAAGCACCATGACGGTATCTTGAGTTGTGAGTTGCTACAAAGTCGATTTTACTTTTTAGAAAAATCTTGGTCTTGTAAATTGGTTGGATACCCTCTCTGTCATCAAGGCTATTTTTTGAGTTTAGGTTAAAATGGAAGTGTTTCTATAGATAGTTAAAACATAATTATGTTCTATGTTTAAGCAAAGAACAGTAAACCTACTTATTTACACACAAAAGGTTCAATTGACCATTGTTTTCGGAAAATATATATTAAATACCATTAATTAATGGTTAAACTGTTGCTTTTGTTTCTAAAAAAAATTAACAGCTTGGATAGGTGGTGTAGCAAGCTTTTGAAGGTGATGCTAAAAAACCAAGTAGCATGACACCCTAGTTGCACGTGGGCTATATAGAGCTATGGCAGAGCTATCCAGCATCATTGAGTGTAGAATGGCATAATACTCAGATTTTGCACAGTGAAAACATATTTGTATTATTTTGCTGCATTTGTTATATTTTTTGTTCTGAATCTGTGAATATTGCACCAGGTCGATATTGAATAACCAATATCGAATATCTGTCCAACTTACACAGGTACTAACTTTTTGAATTTCTTCTCGTGTCAGTGAAACAAATTCAAAAGTATAAGCTCTGAACTGACTTACTAATTGAGTAAACTGAATGACTAACTGATTGACTGAATGGTATTCTTATATTATTACAATATATTTCTATTCAATTCTTCAAAAATTCCAAGTTGTCAAGTGGAGATTTCAATTAGTCTCAGATTACCACTTTGTCATGCCAAAACTCCAACTAGCAAACAATAAAAATGCATCAATTAAAATATTAAACTATAGCTCTTAACAATAGGTTTGAACATTTTACGATCAATCATATACGGCCTGGCATGGCTAAATAGTTAGAGCACTTGATTACGATGTGAGGGTCGCGCGTTCGAATCCCCATTCTACCAAACATTCTCGCAGTTTCAGCCGTGTGGTAGCTATAATTTTTTTGGTAAAAGAATAGCTCAAGAGTTGGCAGTAAGTGGTGATGACTAATTGTCTCCCTTCTAGTCTTTCACTGCTAAATTAGGATGGTCAACGCAGATCACCCTCACGTAGCTTTTGCAAAATTCAAATCAAATCAATGATACACATTTACCATTAAGCGAGAATGAATTGAATTACACTATCAAGAATACAGTGATCTTGACTGACTTATGTGAATAATAATTTAGGTTTAACTTGCATATACATATTGTTGCGTCAGCGAGGTCACGTGACTAGTATCACGCCACGTCCTTCTCGAACCT